TAAAAAAAGTTCAAGGTTGCTGTTAGCTATACAGTGAATTAAAGGTTAGCCTAGGCTACTTGACTCAAAAAATTGCTACACTGATTAACTCTTAAATATAACACATGATACTGTCTGAAAGCATTCTGCCTACATCAGAACTTTCTTACAGAACTAGAGTGCTGAGTTTATGCTGTTTATGAACCCAGGGCTTTGGGTATGCTCAGCAAGCACTCACTCTATCCACTGAGCCCTAATATAGCAAACTTCATTGTCTCTTAAAGTTGCCACAGCCCCCCAGCATTCTGCAACCACCACCCTGATAGTCAGCAACCATCTACATTCAACACAGACCTTCCAGCATGAAAAAGATTCACTCACCAAAGGTTCAAATGATCACTCACACTTTGCTGCAATAGAGCATTTTTAAATCTTCTTTTAAAATTTATTTATCTTATGTGATATGGGTGTTTGGCTTGCGTGGATGTCTATGTGCCTAGTGACAACAGAAGTTAGAGGGAGTCTAGAACTGGAGTTACAGATAGTCGTCAGCTGTCACGTGGGTACTGGGAACCTACACTGGATCCTCTGCAAGAACAAGTGCTCTTAACCAATGAAGTGTTTTTCCAGCCCTGATAAAGCATTTTAAAAATTAATGCATACGCATTTTCTAACTAAAATGATACAAGATGCTAGTTATGGTAAAGTATGATGCAAATACAACTCTCATAGGCACTGGGAAACAAAAAAAAATGATCACTTTAACCTTTATAATATATGCTTAATAATATATGCTTTATTGTTACCAAAATCTGGGAAATCTTCAAGGCCTGTCTGTATGCTAATGCAGACAGAAGGCTCAGGCAATAATTGAATGTAGAGGTAGTAAGAGCCAGCAACAGTGGGAGAAATGGGAATTAAGAAATCAAATGCGCCGGGCGGTGGTGGCGCACGCCTTTAATCCCAGCACTCGGGAGGCAGAGCCAGGCGAATCTCTGTGAGTTCGAGGCCAGCCTGGGCTACGGACAGGCGCAAAGCTACACAGAGAAACCCTGTCTCGAAAAACCAAAAAAAAAAGAAAAAAAGAAAAAAAAAAAAAAGAAATCAAATGCAGGGCTGGAGAGATGGCTCAGGGGTTAAGAGCACTGGCTACTCTTCCAGAGGTCCTGAGTTCAATTCCCAGCAACCACGTGATGGCTCACAACCATCTGTAATGAGATCCAGTTCCCTCTTCCAGCCTGCAGGCACAACACTGCATGCATAATAAATAAATATATCTTTAAAAAGCCGGGTGGTGGTGGCACACGCCTTTAATCCCAGCACTCGGGAGGCAGAGACAGGCAGATCTCCAAATTCAAGGCCAGCCTGGTCTACAGAGCTAGTTCCAAGACAGCTAGGGCTGTTGCACAGAGAAACCCTGTCTTGAAAAACCAACCAAAAAAAAAAGAAAGAAAGAAAAGAAATCGAATGCAAATTTACATTATTAAACCAGAAAGCTATCAACAATTATCAAGTGACATAGAACAATGTTTTATTTTTTTAATGTATAGTGTATATATGTATTATGTATAAAAATATTTACACTGAACGAAGTTTAAAATAAGACATACCAAATTGTGCGTGTAACACTCAGAGGAATACAGGAAAGCAAGAAGATTTTTTTTTTATATTTAATTTTTTTCTGTTGTTTGAATTTTTTGCTTTTTTAGTGTAGATGTATTATTTTTATAATATAAATAACATGCAAGACTAAAGATCTGAGAAGGAAATTAACTTCCTAGAGTAGATGGTATTAGCCCTGGTAGTTTTCTGTAGCTTTAATTAGCCTTTCAGATAGGCCCCAGGGCCCTAACTTGCTTCTACTACACAAACTATCCAGCAGTGTTTGGGAGATCTGAAAGGAAAGCTCTGCAAAGTAAATTCCCTAGTGCTCATTACAGCTGGGCAATAAGCTGGCATCATCTGTGGCGATTTTACCCTGGTAACCTGTGTGTGTGTGTGTATGTGTGTGTGTGTGTGTGTGTGTGTGTGTGTGAGAGAGAGAGAGAGAGAGAGAGAGAGAGAGAGAGAGAGAGAGAGAGAAAGAGAGAGAGAGAGAAAGAGAGAGAGAGAAAGAGAGAGAGAGAGAGAGAGAGAGAGAGAGAGAGAGAGAGAGAGAGAGAGAGAGAGAGAGAGAGAGAGACTGAATGCAGAGGCACACAGAGGCAAGAGGAGGGCATTGGATCTTCTAATTGGGAGCTTTGGGTGGTTGTGAGCTACTTGCTGTGGGTGCTGGGACTAAACAGAGGTGTCCTGCAAGAGCTGCCCATGCTCAAACTCATGAACATCCCTCCAGCCTCCTTGGAAAACGTTTAAGTATAAAAGCTAAAAAGGTAAGAGCAGAGGGTATACCACCTGCCACACAAGCCTGGCCACCTGAGTCTGAACCCCAAAACCCACAGAACCACTCTCAAAGGCTGCCCCTGATCTCCACACAAGTGTCATAGCGCGTGCACACACACACACACACACACACACACACACACACACACACACACACTGAACCCCACAACCCACAGAACCACTCTCAAAAGCTGCCCCTGATCTCCACACAAGTGTCATAGTACACACACACACACACACACACACACTGAACCCCACGTCTGAACCTCAAAACCCACAGAACCACTCTCAAAGGTTGCCCCTGATCTCCACACAAGTGTCATAGTACACACACACACACACACACACACACACACTGAACCCCTCGTCTGAACCTCAAAACCCACAGAACCACTCTCAAAGGCTGCCCCTGATCTCCACACAAGTGTCATAGCATACACACACACGCACACTGAACCCCACGTCTGAACCCCAAAACCCACAGAACCACTCTCAAAAGCTGCCCCTGATCTTCACACAAGTGTCATAGTACACACACACACACACCAATAAATAAATAAATAAATAAACAAACAAACAGATAAATTCTGCACAAAATAGTTAACATATACTTATCATTTATTCAACCAGGGCCAGTGAGACAGCCCTGCAGGTAGAGGCACTTGCCAACAAGCCTGACGACCTGAGTTCAAGCTCTAGGTCCCACAAGGCAAAGGGAGACAACCGACTCTTGAAGGTTGTCCTCTGATTTCCACACACAAGCCATAGCATGTGCATGCCCCTCCACCACACAAATAAATAAATATAATTTTGAAAGAAAAAAATCATCTTACCCTTATGCCCTAAGTCATTTTCTTACAGTAACCATCTAATATATAGTTTTACATAACATTTCAAACATTCAAAAGCCAAGAGTGTCGGCACAGACCTGCAATCTCAGAACTCAGGAATCACAGACAGGAAGATCAGGAGTTCAAGGTCATCTTTGGCTACATAGCAAGTTAAAAGTCCAGAATGGACTAAACCAAACTCAGTCTCAAAAGCCAAAACACAACAAAATTTAGACACATATCAATGGCTTTGGTTCTGGTTTGTTTCCATAAAAGAATTAACCGGATGGGGCTGAGAAGCTGGCTCAGTTGGTAAAGCGCTTGCCACACGAAAATGAGGAGCTGAGTTCGGATCCCCAGCACCCATGGAAAGAGGCCAAGTGTGATGGAGTCCACCGTAACACCAGAGCTGAGAAGGCAGACGTAGATTCCTGGAGTTGCTGGCCAGACAGTCTAGCCAAATCAGAGCTCCAGGTTCAGGGAGAGACTCTGCCTCAAAAACTAGAGAGTGACAGAGAATGTTGACCTCAGGCCCCACATGCACACAAACACAACACAAACACACATGCACATGAACACAATACACACACACACACACACACACACACACACACACACACACACACACACAGAGGGAAAAAATTTGTACTCTGCTATTTATTCATCAGAACGATTTTTAGATTTATTCAGCTGCAAAAAACAATTTTTTTGTTTAACCTATATGAAATAGTTTCATTTGGGTTTTTCAAATACTTTTGTTTTTTTCTGAGTGAAACTAACAGAAAGGATATTTACTCTAAAGCAGCTACGAGGCATAAAGGCAACAGATGAGGTTACAATAGGCTGACAGGGTTTTTCTTTATAGTTTTTGTTTTGTTTTATTTTTACATTGCATCTTTCCAAGCTACTAATATATCAAGTTAGTTTAAGCTACCAGTTAAGCTAAAGTAAGTCTAAAAAGATACTCCCAGGCCATGCCAAACCAGTGCCCTGAGAAATCCCCACAGACTAGAGGGGATGTTTCCTCAATTCAGCAGAGGACTGAATCATATTCTAAACCACTGCCTCAACAGTACTGACAGAAATTAGATCACGCGACCTATGAAATCATGGTGTGTCCACCCTGACCACAGGAAATCTTGGTGCTTAAGAAACAGCCAATTTTTTGGTCTAATCTAACCTTTGTGATATCGAGGACAGACCCTTCACCAAAGCCCCAGAAAAAAATCCCATCAAAGGTCTCAACACATAAGGAGACTGCAATAAGATTGAGTTTCCCAGCACTTTCCCACTCTATTATTGGTTATCCAAGTTTTAAAGTTGTTTGCTTTCCTTGAAGGAGTACACACCACCCCACCCCTCAGACTGTTTATTAACTATGGCTCCCTACTTCATCATTGTCTAAAACCAATCTAAGATAAAAGAACTGCATGTAAAAGAGACAGTCTAGTAAGACCCTCCAGCAGCTGTTAACAACTGCCCATTAGTCTGCCCCTCTGACACAACCTACTATTTAAACAATGAAGCACTCTTTTGTCTATGGCTTTTTTTTTTTTAAGTTGTCCAGTAAAGGGCAATGGAGAAAATACATTTAAATCAACACCTTATCTTTAAAATTGCCCACAGTTTAAAAAAAAAACCAGTTTGTTTCTTATCTTCGAATACTGCCATGAATATGGCTGTTCCATGGTTTTAACACAATTAAAATAAATTAGATAAAACGGAAATATGACCTAAACTGTCAGCCATATGTTTTCATTTAATATGACACATGGGATCATCACTTCTTTTCCCTACAAGTTGACATACCTCCAGCTCTTTAATTTTTTCTTCTGCTGTTTTCTGTTTTTCTAACAGCTGGTTGTGAATTACTTCCTTGGATTGTAAAATAAACCTAGAAAACAAAACAGTTGAAAATTAAGCCACATGGCCACTGTATTCAAAAATCAATAGTTACACGCCACAGATACTAACAAGACCAAAGGATGAGCTCTAGGTTCAGGGGGAAAAACAAAACAAAACCTGTTATATTAAATACTTTGGAAACCATGATGGTTTTAAAGTTTTCTTGGCCAAGGAAAAATAAAGAGTTAAAAGTACATTCTGCTTTCTTATTTAAGAGACAATCTGACATTGAAAATATTTCCAGATAGAAAAATACGGTGAAAGCATCAAAAAAAAAAAAAAATCACAGAGTCAACATATAAGCTACCAAAATTTCCGGTAACTTGAGCTGTCTAACTTCTGTGTAGACTTTTTAAAGCAGTATTTGTAAATTGCAGCGTCCTTCCATCTCCTTGGTTTTTTGTAACAGCAGTAACTCATGACCTTTTAAAGTCACAATCAAGTACTGTGTTAAGATCAATGCCTTAGTGTCTCTATGAGCTCCTCACACAAAGGCATTCTATAAGCCAGCCTGTCTTTTATTATTATTCCCAGAGTGTGTAATACCTCTGAAAAGCTCAAAATGCACAAACACAAAGTTTTAACTTTTTCCATTTCACAGTCAGGCACATTACTTACCACTGCTGAGGATCCAAATATTGGGAAGCTTTATGTATTAACACTGAATCTGTTTTGGGGCGTTATGTTCATAATTCTTGCTGCAGGGAAAGGAAGAACTAACCGTTTCACTGCCTCAAGTAAGAGAGCTGAATGAAGTACTTCTCTTCTACTGGAACCACGGAAAAACCCCAATTACTCAAACCACTTTCAGGATTGTTTAACTGGGCTAAAATAGATTTCAAGTAACAATTGCAATTACTTAAGAGCATGATTTCACCTCTTTGCATTTAAGGATTCAGCAGCAAAGAACTAAACATTCTTTTTAACAAAAAAGTCAAACAAATCAAGGTAACCACATGTAATTTTCTCTGCCAACTTCAAAGAAACATCACGGTGCCTAGGTGGGACCTCACAAAGAAGCCCTATTATTGTGGCTACTAGACAGTGAAAGGAGACTACCAGGCAACTAGAGATCTGATACCCGAGAAAAACTGTTCCTTCTTCTCCTTCATGAATACACCTTACCATACATATCAATGCAATCCCACGAACTCTTTATCATGTCACTAATTGCTAAACTTTATCCATGACACCAATCGCCCATATTTTTTTAATTTATTTTACTTTTATGTGTATGAGCGTTTTGCCTGTGTGTATCTGTGTACACTATATGTGTGCCTGGCATCCATGGAGGTAAGAAGAGGACATCGGATGCCCTAGAACTGCAGGTAAAAATGGTAGTGAGCTACCATGTGGTGCTGGGAAATGAACCAGGGTCCTCTGTAAGAGCAACAGGTGCTCTTAATGGCTGAGCCACCTCTCTAGTCCCTAGTTCAGCTATCTTTTCTTCCTTCCTTCCTCCCTCCCTTCCTTCCTTCCTTTTTTTCCTTTTCGAGACAGGGTTTCTCTGTGTAGTTCTGGTGCCTGTCCTGAATCTCGCTCTGTAGACCAGGCTGGCCTCGAACTCACAGAGATCCGCCTGGCTCTGCCTCCCGCGTGCTGGGATTAAAGGCGTGTGCCACCACCGCCTGTAGTTCAGCTATCTTAACTATGATTATTTATTATATCCTGGAAAGATTGTTCACACTCATAAAAAATGATTAATTGTAGGTCTTTCCCTATAGAACCTATCATATCTAAACATTCTTACTGGATCCAAAAGCCAAGTGCTATTTCAGATAAGCCTATATCACACTGCAGGGGGTTTTCACTGAGAATCAGGTGACGCTGGTCAGGAAGTGCTGTTCTGAACTGCACTGGGTCTTAGTGACAGGACATGACAAGCATCACACAAGGCAAGGTCCAGGAGCTGCCAATCACGCCATTCATGCACCATTTTGCTAATTAAAGTCATTTAGGCATAGAAGTAATTTTCAAAGTAAAATACACATTTTCAAACAGCACTGGTTACCTACCATTGAGCAGAATTCTCAAATGATAGGTCTGGGAAATTTTCAAGGCTAAGATTAGAGGTCATTACTTTATGTGGCCTTTAAAAATAAAGTTATCTGAACAGATACTAAATCCCTTGAGCAGAAAATAAAGTCACTAGAAAGCAAGAACAGTAAACAACAGAAACATGTTGTCCATGGCCACACATACCTAAGGTCGCTATGTTAGCCAGGCCAACTTCACAGGTCAGACCCAGCCAATCGTCAGACCCAGCCAATCTACTACTGTGAGTCTAAAACATCTCGGCCATCCAGATTTTAAACAAGACGAGAATTTTCTAAGCCCAAATGTTTGCCTAAAAGGGTTGTTACATAAAAAATTCATATACAAAATGTATGGAAAGTTGTTTGAGCCTTCAATTTAAACAGTGCTGCAGATACTCTATACAACTATTAGAAAGATCTCCAAAAGGCTACGATTTCTGAAAAGTTCTTAGGAAATAATTTATCTATGATCTAAGAAGCAGTGAATAAGTTGGAGACAATGTATCTTATTATCACAACGTGTCTTATTATCAGAAGTATTGAATACAGTTTCTAAAAGAGAATCTCACAGAGATATTGCCTAATTGTTTCTATAAACAAATAAGTAAAGATTCTGGAGTTGAAGCTGGGTGGTGGTGAACACCTTTAATCCCAGCACTTGGGAAGCAGAAACAGGCAGATCCCTGTAAGCTTGAGGTCAGTCTGGTCTACATAGTAAATTCCAGGACAGCCAGAGCTACATAGTGAGCCCCTCTCTCAAAACAAGCAAACAAAACAAACAAATAAAAAAGAATATATAACCAGGAGCTGGAGCACTCGCTGCTCTTCTAGAGGACCCAGATTTGATTCCTAGCATCCATGTGATGAGTCACAACCACCTATAACTCCAGTTCCAGTGGATCTGGTGCCCTCTTCCAAACCCTGAGAGCACCAGACATGCACGTGTGCACATACACACATGCAAGCAAAACACTCATACATATAAAAGAAAACAATCTTAAAAATATACACATCCATCCATCTACAGAGGGACTGGAAAGACGGCTCAGCCATGAAGACAGCACACCATTCTCACAAAGGACTGAGTCCGACTCTCAGCACCCATGTGAGAGAGTTCACTACCACCTGGAAGTCCAGCTCCAGGAGCCAACACTTCTGGCCTCTGACACATGTGCACACACACCCCAAAGACACCCAGACACAAAATTTAAAGAAATAAAAAATAATCTAAGCTGGGCTGTGGTGGCACACACCTTTAATGCCAGCACTTGGGAGGCAGAGGCAGGCAGATCTCTGAAGTTCGAGCCAGCCTGGTCTACAGAGCGAGTTCCCAGGACAGCCAGGGGCACACCTGTCTCAAAAAAAACACAAACAACAACAAAAATTGAATCAAAAAAAAAAATAAATAAAAGCCTGTGGGGAGTGAGTGTGCCTCTGTGTGAACAAGCATTCACAGTATGAGCACAGTCATGTCAAGGATGCCAATGCCTCAGATTCATGGGAAGGGCAAGGCTTCCCCTGGTCCAAGTACAAATGCTGAGAAATGGCCAATATTTAGCTAAAAACAGTATCTGCAAAAATTGCCAACCTCAGCTTTCTCCTCCTGGATGGCTGCGTGATCACCCCCCCCAACACTTCCCTACAGAGACCCCTACCAAAATCAGATAGCCCGCCTCCTCCTTCACGGTGTACATAATGAACACACTTAGTATCCATCTGTTGGTGCACCTCCATCTGAGTGCACAGCCCACCCAATCCCAGCCTCACATTAATTGTGCCTGTCTTTCTTAGTCTCCCTTTGCTCCCACTCAGGTTTCCAGCACCCGGCCACACGGGCCACGGCAATAACCATTAGCCAGCTTTCTCAATGTAGTCAACAACTACAGATCCCCAAATATGTTAAATTCCAAACTTAACATGCAGTTGCTCCTAGTTAGACAAGTGGCACAATTCAAGTTATGCTGTGGACTAATCCTTCTGTACACTGTGAATATGAATTACTCTCATTGGTTAACAAAGAAGCTGATCGGCCTATAACAAGGAAGGATAAAGTTCGATGGGACAATCAAACTGAGGGTACTAGGATGAAGAAGGGAGGAGTCAGGGGAGATGCCAGCCAGCCACCGAGGAAGCAGGGCATGTAGAAAACGAGGTAACAAGCCATGGGCCACATGGCAAACCATAGAGAAGAAATATGGGCTAATTTAAGTGTAAGAGTTAGCTAGTAACAAGCCTGAGCTATCTGTCAAGCATTTATAGGTAATATTCAGCCCTTGAGTGGCTATTTTGGAACTGGCAGGTGGAAGAGAAACATCCAACTACAAAGTTAACGATAAGGAAGGCCAATAAAATGGACTCTAGGGGCCGACAAGACAGCTCAGCGGATAAAACAAATGCTGTGGGAGCCAAAGGACCTGAGTTTGATCTTCAGAACCCACATGAAGGTGGGGAGAACCAACTCCATAAAGTTGTCTTTTGACTTGCACACTCATGCCATGGCATGCACACATGCCATATCCCCCCATCTCAATTTAAAAAATTGACTACCATAGGGGCTGGAGGGATGGCTCAGCGGTTAAGAGTACTTGTTCTTCTAGAGGACTGGGTTATGTTCCCAGCACCCAAAATGGCTAACTACCACCTATGATAAGCTCCAGAAGATGAAACTCCCTCTTCCGGCCTCTGCAGGCCCCAAACACATGTGTTATACACATATACACATACATAAATATAAATAAAAACAAAAACAATTAACCTTCTCTTATTTATGTCAAGTAAGAAAAATGAATAATAAAACATACACACAAAAAAGGCCTCAAGTTATGTAATATAGTTAGACCTAGGAGGAAAAAGGAGACGAGGAAAGAAACCATTAAAGAGATCATGAAGTTGCACTTTCTAAAACTAATAAACCACCACTCTAGGACACGCAGAGTCCCAGCCAGTTTCAAAA